TAATATTTTCTTTTATCTCTTCAATTTTTACGAGCTTTTGAACCAAACTTAATGTAGATTATTAACAATTCAAAACAACTAACATAACTATTCATAACAAAAACGACAGAAGATAATATTGTACATAATTAGGAGTGATGTTACATTATCTGATAGTTTATGCGCACGATTTCTATAAGTTCAAATTATGTGTACAATTTCATCATAAATATATGAAAAATATTATATAAAAAAAGTACAATAATTGAAGAAATGAATGAAGTGCAACTAACGATATTCCATGCTAAGAGGAGCTCAGAAACGAAACTAGAGGAACAGTTCCATAGAGCTGTACAGTCTATTGATAAAGAAACGTGTTAATAGTTCAAGACTTAGCTAACGACTTCCGTTCGAATCGCGGGCGACACATCAAAGAGCGGCAGCGCTTTCGTCATCTCGGTAAAGACACGTCGTCGTTGCTTGATACTTACTGTTCTTTACACTCTTTCCCCCTTTCTCAGCTCGGTCTGTTGACCTTATTCCGGCCGAGCATATTCGTACGTGTGCGGTACGTACACAGGAAACTTTGGAAAAGGTAGTCCGTCTGGCTCGGCGCGGGCTTCTCGTCGCGTCGGGTCGTCGCGATCCGTACAATGACACGAGTGCGGCAGCCTCTTCTTCGCGCTCGCGAAACGTCGAGCATGCACCTCTTGATGCCTCTTCGCCGTTGTACAGGTCTAGCGTGTCGAGTCGAGTCGAGCCCCAGTCTCGGCTGCGAGAGAGGAAAAGTGTTGGGAATGGAGAAAAGACTGGATGGAAAGCGCGACGCGAGAACGTCAAACGAACGAATGTAAGAACGTGAACAAGGAGATCTCTCTAGCCGCTCGAATGACTTGTAATTATGCCGCTCGTCTTCGGCTCGGAATTATTTTCCTGCTGACGCGTCGTGTCATTCAACGACCGAACAATTCGTCTTCGCCGAAACTCTCTTTCATCTGCCCAGCTTCGACCACGGGGAAACCTGAATTAAATGGACGAGCAAACGAATCATGAAAGTATATACGTAGTGTGTGCATTGTTAATTGAGTTCGCCGAGGGTCGTTTGATGTTTGTACTCCTTAATGATCACCTCCCTGTCGGGCCCACCAGACTTAATTTCTTGTTCAACACCCTTAATTTCGGATAATCGCTTTAATGCGAATTTTATTGCACTCAACTTCTTAATCTACTTCCGAGTTTTTAATATACTTGCTCAAGACTCGGTACGTGATTTAGCAACTAATATATTACTTAGAAACGTGAAATGCTACTTTAAAAATGAGTTACGTTTGGTTAATGGCGAGAGAGTGCAAAAGCTATTATAGCGCGATGCAAAGTAATCGTTTCTCTTTTCTGTTGCAGAGGGATGCGCTTAATCTGGAGCCGAGCAACGTGGCAAATTGTGTGTCCAAAGGGAAATCAGAGGTGAATTACTTCTTTATCTCATTATCGCGTTTACCGAGTACCTACGGCTCGCGACCTGCTTTCCGACGCAATTTTAATATCGGCGGAATACAATTAAAACGTTATTTAAAATACAGATTCACGGAAATTACGTAATTACGAGAAGTTTACAAACGAAAAGTGGAATATCGAATACATTACATGGGCAAGAATACTCTTTTCAATTTTCTTGACAGACGGAAATGGTAAAACGGAAAAGTAGACTTCGGTTAAAGAAATCATACCGTTAACGTCAAAGAGAAAAAGCGTATCGATAATCTATAACGGAAAGCGAATTAACGATATAATTAAAAGTGGATGGAGGAGGGATCGGAGAACGTTCTCCTGAAATTGATATATTTTTTTTTTATTGTATCACAAAAATACGTGGAATCGTTTAACTGTTCTTTGCGAGCAAAGAGTAACTCAAGCTCATGCTGTAGACCCACTGTTTCGTTGCTTCTTGTTGTTCTACGTTTTATATTTAAAATGAATGGACTGTGGATAAGGGGGAACGAAAGAGAGTTATAAATCAGAGACAAAGTTATTCCGTTGATGTCCCGTTTAATGGAACGTGCGTTCGCGATTCTACGACTGTATGGAATGCGTTTCGACGAAAATTTGATATTGAACAGTTTCGTTAAAACCTGTCAACGAGTCGAGCAACTTTTACCAGGGACCGAAATAATGGAAAAACAACTTTAGACGAAAATGTTTCCACGTTTTTCGAGCAGCACGCTCGTTCTATGGAGCATCGACCGTGCACGGAAACGCGTTGACGTTTGCCTTTAATTGAGAACGGACTCGTTCGTCCGTTCGTTTCTCTGATGACGTTTCCAATTTGGCGGTGATAATGTTTTCCATATAACCATAATATCCATCAAGATACGAGAATACCGAGTATTACATACGTAGATCTTCATTCGCGTTAATTGGCAATTTTTCAACAATATCTATTTGCAATCATCGATTCCACTTGGTTTATTGAGCTCGTACCACAGTAGCATATTCAGTAATTCCGTGACATATATTGTTTCCGTTAACATTATCGACAACGAGTATTACTGGACATAAAATTTTTTAAATTAATTTCCTGAAATATCCCTTATAAAATGGATGGACTTGCAAAAGTGAAAATAAACGTAAATGAGTATTTCATCATTCATTCATTTAATCCGACGTCCATCAAATTGATAAAATGAAATTGAATACCTATTTTGGGTATAATCATCGGCACGGTATTGTTCGAAAATCGTTGATCGCCCCCTTTTCAACGGCTTTATCTTTGGCAAAACGCGAGGGTAAAAGTTTTTAAGGCGCACGTCCCGAAGCAGCAGCTCACCGGGCCGCTTATCGGTGCTTCATTCCGTATTCATCGCGTACTACGCACCGTCGAGGTGTAAGGTCCACGCAAATATTCTCTACGTGACGACAAAACCAATTTATTTTCGCCGCGTGCCAATTCGCCGCTAGATACGCGCGAGCTCGACGTGATCGACCGCGAACGAGCTCGGCGCGGAATCTTTCGCCGCCTCGGATATCGCCGTTCTACATATATAATTTTCGGGAAAAATCCGTGTCCACGCACAGTCGAGTCCTCGCTCGTTCGCCGCACACCCTTCCTCGTCCCGCGCCACGTTTCTTCGCACGTATCCGTACGAAAAATTCAATTTTCCTTCCCCTTCTTTCGCAGCACTTTGACTGCCGGAATCACATAAGGGTGATCCAGCCAATGGGGGACGGCAATCGGCTCTACATGTGCGGCACGAACGCTCACTCGCCCAAGGATTGGGTGATTTATGTAAGTATCAGTGTGTTTGTTCTTCATTCCGACCCGTTTGTTTAATCACCGAACTGATTTTTACACTTTTTCAATGGATTTACACATTCTCGTAAAAATGGAAATTCTGAGGCTTGCTCGATGTTTTACAATGTAAACTCTCGAACAATATATCTTCTACTTTTTCGATTAGAAGATCCGAGTCCAGTTTTGCATTGTGATTGCGATAATGAAATGTAATAAGTCGAGAATTTTATACATTTTTATAACTATGATTAGAAACTATGAAGAATCTATGTAATGTATAAAATATATAGAACACGAGAAAACTATATGGTAAACCGTAAAGAAATTGCGAAATTTGCAGTTTTTTAAGTGATATCGCAACAGTTTTATTTTACACAAAAATTCATAATGGTAGTAAAATTACTCTAAGTCTCTGAAAGCTTTTTCATTAGAACTTGCAGTACTAGGATGTTAAGATTGAAATGTACTAATCCAGCCACGGGTTTGACCGGTTCGATTTCCCGTAATCGATGTTGTTACTCCGTCGCCGTGTAATTTAGGTATCAATTCCTCACGTGGAATCTGTCGCACCAGAGCATCGGCAATGCTGTTACGTTACACAGCGCGAGGGCGCAAATGAATCGAGCGTTCAAGTACCCGTGTAATGAACTCAAAGAATATATTGGTCTCGCTTTGTCGAAGATTACGACTCCCGTGCGTATAATAGAGTTTCACACGGTAATGTGCCCACGGCTTTTGCGTACCTTTAGACCGACATTTTTCACTATACGCGTACGTACATAAATGTAGATATATCGCTTCAATATGGCAGTTTACATATTTGGATATATGCCACGTACGTCCTGTATGATTATTATAGTGACATTTATTGGTATACATCGGAATTCTTACAAGAAATGAGAAAATTGGAATGTTATAAATGTGTTATCATTGAGTATAAGCATCATTGATTGCTCTAATTGCTATATCTTTAAGTACAGCCAGCAAAAATCAAAAGTGTCAATAAGGAATTGGTGAATCAAATAGAAGGGTGGAAATGATTTTCGTGAAATTTAATAATAAGGATTGGAATCGCAAGAGTAGAAGTCGTAATTCGTAATTTGTAGTTTTATGTGTACGATGAATTATTTAATGATTAAATTTGCCAATCTATATAGACTATTAATACAGTCAAAAGGAGACACCTATAATGATTTTTATTGAAATTCTAATTTTACTGAATTTAATTTCTTTAGTTTTGTTGATTGGTATTAACATTTGGAAATATTTTGAAGTACAGTATATAAATGTACAAAGAAATTTGCAAACTTGAAGCTGTTTATTATAGTCAATCGTCTAGATTTAATCTACATAATAGAACAAGATCATCTGAGAAACAGAGTACGTCTAAAAACTAAATTATAACACTTAGTATAACAATTCTTTGTATAGTGTGTCGCAACTGCGATAAACAATAAGGCTGCGAAATTTGTTATCTATTTATTTCATTCGAATAGACTCCTGCTTTAATAAAAAATGGTGGCATTAACTTTAGTCAGTACTACTCAACTCTCCCCTACCGCAGGCTTATTTTATTATGTTTGTTTACTCAATTGAAATTATCTCTCCACGCAGAGCAATCTGACCCACTTGCCGCGGCACGAGTTCGTCCCTGGGGTGGGAATGGGCATAGCAAAGTGTCCTTACGATCCAGCGGACAACTCGACAGCCGTGTGGGTGGAAAAGGGCAATCCTGGGGACCTGCCAGCTCTTTATTCCGGCACCAACGCCGAATTCACAAAGGCCGATACCGTAATCTTCCGCACGGATCTGTACAATTTAACCACCGGTCGCAAGGCGTTCAGCTTTAAGAGGACGCTCAAGTACGACTCGAAATGGCTGGACAGTAAGTACCCTTCTTCAGCCACTGCAATTTCTTCCTTCACTTTCTTCTTATTGTTAGTCTGAAACGAGGCAATATCTCCGACTGGAATCACTGTCTCGCAAAATTTTTCTATACACTGCCCAACGAGACAGAATCTATCGTAATAACGATCTCCAATCGAAACTGTTATATTTTTACATGAAGATTTAACGACTTCATCATGAAAATGGCAGTATAAAATCAGTATTCTTAACTTGCGAGAAAGTTGAATGAATCTTTATTTTCATGTTCCTGTATCCATTGAACTGTTTTTTATTAAAAATGGGAAATTAAACAGAATAGACTATATTGGACGATACACGTATATTAAATGTGCTCGCTACGATTTACCTCGTCGGTAATGAAACTTACATTACTACTTGAATACAGACCTTCCGTCGAAAGAGTGCTAAAGAGTGAAAGGGAGAAAACGTGAAAGTAATACCCGTTACAATACGTTAGATACAATTTGTACAAAAGTAATACATGATCTGTATAGCCAGATAGGTAACTTTCCTAATATACAAGGTGTATAAATTAAGTAATGAGACTGACATTTTTAATTTTTTTATTGGAATAGAATTACAATTTAATATTGTATTCTTCTGTCTTGTCTTGTATGTAGTTCACCAATGAAGATTCTAAACGTTTTCAAGGTTTTTCTGCGGTAGAATAGTATAAAAAAGGCGACTTGGGAGGATTGGAAATTGAGGAGTAACATGGTGTGTAATAGCAGGATTTAGAGGGTATCAAGCCCGGAGTCGACGAAATAATAAAATAACACCCGGTCAGGATTTCCTTTACGTAAATGTTCAGGATTTTTCCTTTGTAGAAGGCGAAGTGTTTTTCTGCGTCGATACCGGAGGAACGACCCCTTTACGCGGCTCTCTATTCCGATCTTTAATCAGTTTCAGCGGGGTTCGCTGGATTGGGTAGGGCGCGAAAGGGATTATTGCGATTCGTTGGATTTTTCGTTACCGGACTGAAACATCGGGTGGAGCCAGGAATCCGTGAGAAGAGAAGGGGGAAATTGGAAAATGTAGATTAGGACGTGTTTCGGGTGGCGAATCGTGGAATGCGGTAATCAGATACAAACGCGTCCGACCGGCTTTGATTTGTTTGGATTACCGTTTGTTTCGTCCGTTTGATTCTGATCACATCCGCTTGTCCCGGATACCTCTCTTTTAATCGTGTGATGATCATTCGTGCGGATACAAAGATATTCGTTACAATTAACCTCCGTCTGCATTTGTCAGACTGCTTTTCATCTTTACTCTTTATTTCTGTTTAAATTTCGTTTTGTTTAAAGAAACAAAAATAATATTCTAAAATGCTAGAAGAATTTTTGTGGACTTTTTTCAAATATATAATCCTAAACGAAAACATGTATGAACGAGTCATTATGTATACGACATTACTACAAGTGATTAAATTCGTACTATCATTTATAGTCATGAATCGTAAACATGAATCTCACATATTAATGAATAAAGTGCTGATTTTATGCATTTATAGGAAACGTGAATCTAGACAGAATGTAAGGACTGTATATAACTTATAAAAGTATGTACAGAATGGCAAAAGCTGGATGCACTTTGCGATATTTAAAATATGATAGGAATTTCTATTTAAAATTCATCTTTTTTTTTTATTAAAGCGTTTGAAATCTCACGGAGGCTCATTTCTTTAATTAACGCCATACGAGTTTGATTAAGCATTAGAACCCGCAAGTTGAATCTGTCATGATACTCATGAATCTCGAATAATCTTCTCATTTACCGAAAGGTACCGTGAAAATGAAAATACAGTGTTTACAATAAAGAGCAATTCAGTCGCGAAACAATTTCATTTGCACCGCGTGCCGCGAACGTTTCCTAAGGCCGGTCGGTTAGCAAATAGCAGAATGAGGACGGAATCATAAATCCCCGGTGAAGTTATCAATTAATTTCAACTTCGTCCCGTGTATCTTGTCTCTACGGCAATTCTCTCTCGCAGAGGAGGTACGCGCGCCTCCACGCGAAATAATAGCACCATGGAGCGGTAGTTGCCTTATATTTCTCAGGAGGGTGTCGTTTCTCCGTCCTATAAAGCGTGCAGGCAATCCATGCCGTTCGACCCCGTTTTCCCTCTGTCCCGTAGTCTCGTACGGGGTCTTGACCCAGCGAAAGGAGTAAAACGAGGTGAAGATCCCACTTTGTATCTTTCTCGGTAACTCCCTCGTCCTCCCGCGGGATGCATGATTAGCCGTTTGTTTCGTCGTTTAATTTGAAACCGGCACCCCATCGCCCTGTTCCTCTCAACCCTTCTGCTAGCGCGCTACGTTCGAGACCCGGGACGCTCGCCATCAAGAGCCACTCCCCGCATCGAGTTTGTCTATTAACAGAGGCGTTGATTAAATGCAAGAGAGGCCGGAGAGACGGATAGGTTCACGTGCTCGCTGTTTCCAAACCCGTCCCTCGTTTCCCGAGCGCTGCTCGTTCGCGTGGTAAAGTATGCAGAATGAAGATCGATGCGATCCGCGACCGCGAATAGGCTTGATATAAGCGAATGAAGGCACGGGAGCCTACCAGGAGGCTGAAGGAAAATTGAAGCTTTATATGGCGTACGATATCCAACATACGCTCAGTCACTTTCAGAGATTCTTGTGCTGATTCACGTTCGTTTATGTTCAATTAAGCTTAATTAGAGACGCAGTAGAGTTATATATTTAATTAACCATATGTTATTTCTCAATAAGCGAAACATTCCACGAATATTGAGTGGTCGGTATGACCAACCACAGAATTATTCACGAAATCCATTATAGTCTTTATTTATCGTAATAAGGACCATGTCCATGATTCAGATGGATTAATTGTTTAGTTTCTTACTTACGTCTCATTTTGGATATTAAATGTCATTTTGTCACGTTTTAATTTAGTGAGGGACATATGGCACGTTAATTCTCTCCGGTATAATCCTCACCGGCTGAAGTTGACAAAAGTTCACGCCTCGAGCGTCAACCAGAGTCGTAAAGGGCGCGGAAAAAGATTGACGCGGTTAATTTAGAAATTCCTTGGAGAGGCACGCGGCGAAGGACGGATAGCTGCAAGTTCGCGAACATCAACCAGTCGCGGGCAATTCGACTAACATATTTATTAATGAGATTTCATCCCTAATGGGGAAGCGCTGGGCGCAAGGGAATCGCGGAAAATAGAATTTCGTATTTGCACCTGGTGGCTAGTCGTGGACGTATAAAGTTCATGAAATTAGCCCCGAGGGTGATTTCATTATTCGTCCCGCGCACTGAAATCGAGAGTAAGAACGTTTTCCAGCTGTATTCTCGTGAAGTTCATTTCACCTCATCTCGGCATTTGATCAAAACTCGTCGATCGCTCTACGTTTCTATCGAATCGAGACACTTTTCTTTTCTACTACTACGTATTGGCAGAAAGTTTGCTGTCAATTCTCATATATGACGTTCAACAAATTAATACTATATGAAATGTACAAACTACTGTCGTTCAGGATATTTCTCTGCAAATAAGGTAATGCGTAAGATAAAAGAAGCTGATATTTCAGTTATTATACAGGGTGTTCAAGAAACCATTCAATATTTTTATGGTACATAGGATGCACTGTACTGAGTAAAAAAGCTTTAGTAAACGTTGGTCGAAAGGTCAATTGTTTCTGTGATATAAACATTTTTGTTTGAGGTTCTTTCAATTTTCCTTGCTTTTAGTAAAGGTAAGTTCGTTCGACTAAATGTTTCTTCTTATTTCGTGAGGCTTAGTGCTCTTATTGTTTATCCAATGTTAATTTCATTTCTCCAAAAATTGTTGAGCTTTAACGATTTAACGAAATTGCACATATTATGAAAGTTGGACTTTTTGTTCATTTTTTAAGTGTTCCCGTATTATTGTATTGATCGAAAACTTTTTGCCGAGGCTGGTACTTTCTTCGCGGCACAATATATCAAACTTCGAACGGCCAAGCGTCGGACAATCGATTTAATCGGTGAACTGTGAAAGAGATTGCGGCCTCTCCAACCCCGCGCATAATGTGAAACCGACGGGGGTAGCATGCTCGCGTGGTTTCGAACGATTTAAGCGTGCTAAAAATTCGATTTACGTCTGTACCATCGCATCGCCTTTTGCGCATACAACGCTAACAGTAAACTACTCGCCGTGCCGTGCGGTGTGTATCACATGAAATCGCTTCGGTTCGTGAACAGGCAATTATGGGGGCGTGACTTGAATGCGCGGCTAATTGATCGAGGGATAAAATTCGACGCGCGACCATTCGCTTGGGACCGCTGCCCGGTGGTTGTTTTTCGGCGAATTTACCATCGGATAATATTTCACATTGCGTGTTCTTCCCTTTCGTTCAATCGATTGAAAGAGAATTATTGTTACTCTGTCCAAATATTCAAAATTATTAGATCAGTACGGATGAAAGGTAGATCCGTTTTCCAAGTTTCTCACCAAAAATCGTTTATCATGATTATGAATCAGAATGTACGTTGACAATGTTTAGATGCTATAGTAAAGCCATTGCAATTTTAATAGAATATGTTTCAACATTACTATTATTAT